AAATTGAAATCGTTACTTGCGCCTTCGAGTACACTGGTCCACGAAGGTATTTAACCCTACGTTTACGGAACGCGTCAATCTGACGTGTATTGAATTTTACAAACATTATTTGGTAAATGTATACGTTGACTTTAATCGAAGCAATTACACGAATATGCATCGCAATTGTATATTCTATCAAATATTCTATTAAATCTCTAATTTCCAAGATTCAAATAGATGCATAATAATTTGTCTAGGAACAGTAAAATATACTGTACAATAAATGTCCGTAAACCTAGTGTTATAATCGATATATTTCTAATGGAAATGGACATCTCAGCCTTGTGTTAATCGATTTTAACAAAATTGTAGAAAAATTATTCTCATATGTTTCCCAAGCATTATGCATAGACATTTTAACTCTTTGAACTCGAGGATTTCGAAGCAGAGTCATTTAAAATTCGTCATTATAAACTGTAAAATTTTGTCATTAAATATATTATAACATTTATACCTATAATCGATAAAAAAAAGTAAAATACTTTTATAACTTTTCTTTTCATGTGCGTATCACTTATTTATATGTTAAGATGCTTTCTTTATTAAAATTGCTTCAAGTTGTTGGTAATGTTAGTGAGAAAAAGCTTCGAGTCCAAAGGGTTAAAATGTTTACTCTACGGTGAACAGAACATTTACTTTATAAATATATGTATGTTAAATATTTTTATGGAACAATATACAATGAAATGGTTAAATATACATAAATAAGAATAGTATGATAATTTTATTGAGAAGAAATTGTGATTGAGATAATGAATTTGGGAATATGAACATTTGTTCGAGATAATCATTATAATGTTCATAAACTTTGAAATGTATAATGGAATATCTCAAAGTTGTACTTTTAACAATAATGTATATCGAGTGACGATTAATATTTGATCAGTATTGTTTGAGGCACTTAAAATATTATGCTTATATGTAGGTATGAGGAACATGCACGCAGAGAATAATAGAAATAGATTTTTATAATTGTTAAGAGTTAAAAACTTTGTCGAGATGAAAATGAAATAAAACCTTTGTTTTCGACGAGTAAACTGTATAGTTTATTTGAATTTCACTTATCACTAGCAAGTTTATATAAATTGTATATGTGTCTATTACAAATTATACTATAATCGCAATGTCCACTTTGTCAGATCTTTTTATTGACTATACAAATCTCTGGTTAACGTCGTGTGTTAATATTTTCAAAGAATTAAATACCAGAAAATGTTTTAATGTGATTACTATGTTAGAAAATGTTTGATAAAATCTTATAAGGCTATAAAGTAATAGACTGAAAATGAGCGAGACTGAACTGTAGCGAAGTATCCGACGGACGTCCGTCGACATGTCAAAGCAATTCTATGTAAAATATCCGTATTCGTATCAATTATAAATATAATATAAAAACTCCTGTTTTCCATGATATTTACATGATATTGTTTCCAATGAATTTATAAATTTCAGAAGCATACCGAAATGTTACATAATATTACAAAATTAACAAAATAATATTACATAAATAACATTACAAAACTTAAATATTTTACTTACTCATAATAAAATAAAACAAATAAAGAAGTTTTTACGTTATATTGATTATCGGAAATATTGTATAGTACGGATTTGGGGTTTTAGACGTGAAGTAGATACAGATATTCTAAAAAATTTCTAGAACTTCTTTGAATATATTCGTCACATACTTCAGTTTGTACCAAATAAGACAAGTATCCTGTCATTTAAAAAAACTTCTACCGGTTCTTATGATTTGTTTGATTCGTGTCACACACAGTATATTTTAGTTCGGAGAAAATTCTACCTCTGTCATTTTTTCATAAAACATATTGTGAATCGGTATACTAAAGAATTGTATTAATATGGCAAATTATGAGACAAATGTCCGTAACAGAATGATTATTGCAGATAAATCATAAAATCTAAAGTGTAATTTGTTTATAAAACATTACACAAGTAAACAGCTGAATCCAGAAACGTAAAAATCAATGAAAGTAAGAGCAGTGAAATTGAAAATGAAAACAACGACCAACAATTTCTTCGATTATCATGGGATTATTCATCGTGAATGCGCATCCCAAGGGCAGTTTGTGAATGTTGCAGTTTACGAGGGCGTAATGGATCGATGGCTCAAAGAAGTCCAACGTGTACGATCGAGTTCGTAGCATTTTACTACACTGGCTCCTTATACACATTGGCATACGTTTTGACTATAGTAAAAGAATTTCTAACAAAAATTGGTGACAGCAGTCTTCTAATCGCCACACTCTCCACGTTAAACCCTTATACATTTATTTTTATTTTAAATGTCAAAGTTCGATTTAAGAATAAGGAATATGTACCCAGCACAGACATTCCAAAAATAGTTGCAATTAACTGAAAATTATTCCAAAAACGGATTTTCTTAGGACCTCTCAGGGACTTATGGAATACAATAAATTAGGTTAAAAGAGAAGTTCATGTGCAAAATAAAACGAATAAAATATATTTATTATGGTCCACTGATAAGGGGATTTCCATAGGATTAGGAGAATTAAGAATTTTTAAATGTTAGCAAGTATTTAATATAAAAGAATCAAAACTCTTATTAACGTCTCTTTTAATAATATTCCATTCTTTCCTAATAGTAAAAAACTGCCCAGAATAAATTTTAGTTTTTTTACTGTATATGGCTATACAATAAAAATATGAGTCATGATTTCAAAAAATTGTAAATCGATTTTAATCGAGGGTTGAGGCCTAGAGTTCTTCCAATGGTTGAAAAAGAGTTAATTAAAATAAGTGTTTCTTCATAAAATAAAAACATAATGTTCACAAATTTAAAGTGCAATAATATAAGGAATTAATATTACTAAGGAAATATAAAAAGACATAAACAGATGATATTTGAAATATTATGTCAATACTTCTATAAATAGAAAAAATTAAATCGAAATGTTTAATGTCCTAGTTATTTGAACAAATATTAAATTATTGGTTTCTTTCGTTCTTGACGGGTTATATAAATTTTATGTTGCATTTCTCTTAAAATTTGTTTGTATTAATAATAGCTTTCAATTATTTTATGTTCGTAACTGTTTGGGAAGAATACCGTTTGTGAATCTATTTTTTCGTTACTTATTATATTAATTAGAAACTTTAGTATATTTTTTCAATTACAATTTCATAACACAACAAAGTAATTATGACAAATATTTTAAATAATAATTCGCAATCACTTAATTAAGCAAACACGTGTTTCACATTAAAATTTATTAAAAAAATATTGGTATGAAATGTATGTTGGAATTACGCTATAGCTCCGAGTTATTAATTAACGCTTTGAAAGAGAAAATGGAAGCCATCAATGAATATTGAATTAGAAATTTTAGTCCTTCTCAAAGTCCGTTAAACTATATATTAAATATCTATGTATGAACGAAATAAAATAAGGTCTTAAAGTATTGGTAGATATATTGTCACTTCCGATAAAATTCTGGTAAAATTATTTCGTCATTCCGATTATAATTTATAAACTTACATTTCACTTTTCACAATATATAAATATTGTTTTATAAAATTTTGATAAAATATTCATAGACATTCATATATTTATTATTTAAAACCTATAAATCGTTCTTTTTGCATAAATTCACTCTAATGAGAAAATAGCAATTAAAACAAATTTCAAACTGTGTTCTTTGAATATACATGTGACGTACCTAATATGTTTCTTCCAAATAGTCTTACATATAATGTATAGGTCGCGTACTGTAAAACCGCTGAATACTACATAAGAATTCAGCCTTAAATTGCTGGTGGATTTTCTAAACTTTTTAATTATTGTTATTTATGTGTTAGGCTTCAGAGTCACAATTTCTAAAAATTTGTGTAACGCTTCAAAAGTTTTCGTAAATAAAAATTCGATGTTTACACGTGTTGTGTCTATGCAACAATTATAGATATATTACACACTATACAAGTAGTGACAAATTCTTATTTTAATTTCAAATCTAAAAGTCATGATTGTTAATGAATAATGCATTTCAATATTAAAATTACTATAACGTATTTATTAAAAGGTATTAAAAATAAAATATTTATAAAAAATATGAATTTTAAAACAATAGTATAGTTACTTTTTCAAAACTATTAGATCTTAAAAAATAAATTTTAAGAGTTAAGAAGACACTTAAAATTCTATAATTATTTTTTCATTAGACTAACGATAGTGATCGTTTTTAGAATGTATCCCATAAATTTATACGAAGGCTTATTCTCTCGAAACATTTGGGTCTCATTGTATATTTCAATGAGCTAGAGAGGATTTATTATTACGTGCAGCACTCTTTTTCATGGTGTTGTTAAATCTCTCCGCCGTTTCACATTATATGTTTCGTATTCATAGTCTGAGCGAAAATTGCTCCAAGAGCACGGTAAAGGTTATATGAGCCATAAAGTAACTTCAGCTTACCTTGCCGATCTTTATTTATATACTGGAGATCCTTCTAACTTTCTCTTCACATTAGCTTTCCTTCCTTCCTCTCACATTATTCGTACACTTCGTTCTTCGGTTGTTGAACAGTTTTTTTATTTTGCAATACAAATGTAATTTTTAACAAAATCGGTCGATTTCAAATCGTTCTTACCGATCGAACGGAGACTGGTTCAAGATAATTCGCTAACTTCACAACGAGGTCTCTTCCTGTAATTCTGAATAATTCTGCCCTCTGGCGTAAAGCAGTGAAAGTTTAAAGATCCATTTCACAAACAGTTATACCTACTCACAATATCAAATTTATTTTCATAACGTAGAAAATATAGGTGTATTTTTTCGTTTCTTATACGAGTAAAACAACTGACTAACATACATTTGTAATATTGTAGAAGTATCCATTTTAAATTATTTGTTAAATGCAGTTTTAATTTGAAATTCATTTTTTCGCGGTATTTTATTTGAAATAGTACACCACTAAATTATGTTACGTAATCGCATTATACAATTACTACAAAATGATTATCCTATGTTGGCACCTTTTGTATTGTCCAGTTTTAGTACCACCAAAGTATTTAAAAGAAGAGAACGAGACAAATCTTGTGAACCAATCCCTGTAGCTGTTGTGAGTATCTATATTAAATTTTATTAATACAGTACAACGGAATAGTACGCAAAATATGTTATCTATTTGCTAATCTTATAGGTTAAATATTTGTTTATTTGTAGAAGTTAAAAACCAGGTTAACACCAATAACATGTACTGAATGATTACTGATTTTTGTGTTTTGTGATTAGTCACTTCGAAATTGAGCAGTAAAAGATATTATTAAATGTCAAAAAGACTTCAATGCTAAAAATAAACTTTGCAAGCGTTTTTAAATATTATTCCAAATGATGTAGCGCATATGATGTAACAACAAACTAATCTTTTTTACTTAAAATGAAAGAATACAAATAATATCATTTATTAACACTGTTTATTATTATTTATTTAATATTTAAAGAAACATAATATTAAAAATAAATGATGGTTTTAGTAGAAAAAGATTAATAATATTTTAGTTACCCTTTTTAACGCCATCTATATAAGTATATATTAATTATACATTTGTTTTTAATGAATGATTATGTGAATAAATCAATTAACATAGTCAAGTTTAGTTGATTTTAAGGACACAACAATAAAATATTGAATGCGTATACATATAAAGAATAGTGAAAAATATTTATACGCTTTTTATGTTAAAGCTGTTTACGTGTTCCGACGTCGTTATTGCGTTCAACAAAGCGTTAGTGGAATTTGAAAATAAACATAATGAATGCAACTTTTTCCATAAAATTGATATTTTAAAACCTTTCTATATGTTGCGAATTACTCCCCATAGATTTTCTTATTTTGCGAGTACATTGCAATAATTTAACTCCACTTATTTTATTCATGGTTATAATATAGAATATTCCACTAGTTCTTTCTTGTGCTTTTCTTTATAGTTTGTAGATTATATAATTGTATAATTATAAATAGATTATATAATTAAATAAAATGTTTCTTCTATTGGTAAAAAATTATTTTACTTAACAAAATGAGGATGACAGTTCAAACAGGTTCTTCTTTGAGCACATATTCAAATTCATTTAAGAGTTCTAGATAATTTGTTATATTTTTTTGCGTTTTACATTCTAACCTTTCTTTTGTGGAGCATGTACCTGCAGTAATAAAATAAGAAAACATTATCATTAAAAAATGCTGGAATTAAACAGGATAGGAAAAAACACTTGTCTTAAGATGAACAAGTACATTGTAGTTCTTTCGTTCATATCAGTCGTGGCTAATTTGACAAAAACACATATAATCTTTTTTTTATTCCTTTTTTTGAAATGGATACATATAATTTTCATTTCTTACGTAAAAATATTAACAACGATAGAAAATTATTCTGACAACCGAGAAAGTAGATAAGAATATGTACCTAATTGGTATTCATCTAACACTACCGATTCTTCAAAATATTTTTCTACTTCTAGAAGGAGTTTCTACGTGTCGAGTCTAGTAATTTTATTTTTAATTATTTTCTTTATGGCTTTATAAATTCGTCAAGTCAGAATTCAATACTTTTCGTGTGTAGTTTTCCTGTATGAGTAAATACTATAACACAGGTTTTTATTTTCTACACCATTCATTTTATTTACGCGAAAATACAGTGTAATCTAATATAAAATTCTGAAGATCATAACTTTCGCTCAGATAAGTTCAACATCCATTATTACTTCGAAGTGACACACAATTGATACAGATTTGCCTATATTTTCATTCCTTACACTTTCCAACTTATTTGCATTCGTTATCTAAGTTTCCCTAGCCGTCTAGATTTTACGATCTTCTAACTGTGCACCTATACACCGATCGTTAACCCATATCCTGTTGCCTTCTACCAGACGAGTTAATTTTCATTTCGGCAAATCATTTGTCCACCTGTCTATTTGACACCAGAAAAATAAATAAACCGATATCCGATAAATTCACTTACTAACAAGTTGCTAGTTCTTGTCTTTTCCAATCACTATTGTTGTGTAATAATTATTCGTATATTACATATGTTGCTTGTCATTTTAATGTTATTTAATACTTCATGAAATTGAACCGAGTGACTAATTGAATATAAATACAGAGATATATAATACCCGTTAGCTTATTTCGATACATTCATGATTTCACAATTTCTATTTCCATGCGACAATTTTTAATATGAAATTTCTTATTATTATTCATTATTTTTATCGATTCGTTACCAACAATGATTGTTAATTAATCTTTATTACCCACTGTATCCTTCAAATGACTATTGTCTTTTAATATTTAAGCTGATTCATCAAAACCTCCATTAATACTTCATATTATTTATCAACTTGGTTAACCTACTTTTAAAACGTGATTATTTCAACACGTGTTTTTTATTATCCATCATGTAATAACTTAAAAAGGTTTGAAAAAAATTAATGTAGATTACATAATTCAATAAGACAGCAAGTGTTACGCTTAGTTTGCAGCAAAGTGTAGATTCATAATTCAGCTAAAAATAACTGAGAGTAACGAAAAAATTAGATTCATTGCGAGGAATGAACGTATGAAATCTTTTTCTCATGGAACAAGAAATAATTTGCAATCAACAACAGCA